TGGCTGTACTTCGCTCAATGGCTCACGCTAACGGAGCAGCTTGACTGAGACTTGAGCTGTGCAGCTGAAGAGCTGGTGTTGTTAACCAAACCTCAGTACTGAAACTCATGTCGACTGGCACGTGCAGAGCAGAGCCTGTCTGCACTTCTATTAGTAAAGGGGTGTCTTGGGGCCCGAAAGAAGAAGTATTCCAAGTGGATGTCATCACTGGCAGACATTTGACAAGCTGGGTCCAGAGCCTGACCACTGACACACTGCTCTGTTCGTTCACTGTCCCTAAGCAGAGGCGCTTCTACCAAGGAACCCTAATCAGAAGTTGGAAAGCCAGTATAACTGATTTTTTTACTTAATATCATTGAAGGGGATTGGTTGAAAAACCGTTTGATTGGTTCCTGTCTTACTGGAGTATTTTAAATTTGTACCTTATTTAAACACAAGTAGAATACCATTCATTGCTTTAGATTCTCCCCAAGAAAGAGAGAGAGATCTCCCCTGCTCTCTGGCCAGGGATCTGAAATGCAGCCATTAACAGGGAAGGCCCTCTCACTCCAAGCTTTCACAACCGATCATGGCAGGGGAAGAGAAAGCAGGCCGTTTAACACAGGAGCACCTGTGAGCGTGCACACGTTCACACATTTCAGACATTACGACTTCACACACCGAAGGAGGCTGACTTGCCAGTCTCGGGAAGTGGGATGGGGGAGGTCCGTGAACATGAGACCATGGCATTGTATCGATGTCCCTCTTTTAGAAACCACGTCCCTACGGTATCGCTGGCATGCTCTGCAATGTCTAGTTTGGGTTTAAAAGTGATGCAAGGATGCAGACATTTGCAAGGCAATTGGAGGGCAGAATCTTCGGCTTTTACAGCAGTTTCCCTTCTTACGGCCGCCTGCCCCCATTGAATTCAGTAGCAAATGTTTGTTATCAACCCCCGAGACTGCATTCAACTTAAGTTTCCAAATATATGATTCCTTTTTGCAATCCATTTTCAGTGTTGTGACTTACGGAACTGCATACCTGTAGCATTAGGAACTACTAACCTAAGAGTTTCAGGAACATGCCCACCCCCGGGGCTGGGGAGCGGGCCCAGAGCAGCTGCATGTTAACAGTGGTGCTGGAGAGCCCCCGCCACCCAGGGCCAGCAGAGGACACATCTCCCAGGCACGGGGCTGCTTAGAAACTGCTGAAGACATGAAGGGTATTTGAAATACTTTTGTAAGAGACTCACCAGGTAAAGATGAAAGGATTTCAATATCGACTTGTTGAGTCTCTGGATTGTGGCTTAATATTTTTCCTTCCTTTCAAAAATAAAAGCCAAAGTCAAAAATTAATACACCCACTGTGAATCTACTAGGAACCACTGAGATGTACTTAAGAATGGTTAACAGAATACATTTAATGTCATGTGAATTTCACTGTGAATTAAAAATAAATCAGCACATAGGAGGAATGAAACAGGCAACCGGGAGGAGGGAGCAAGGAGCAGTGATGCTGGGCTGTGGGGATCGCAATGGATGAGTGGGATTAGAATGGGCACGGATTATAATAAAAGTTAAAAGAAGAAAATCAAGTGTCCGGGCTGAACGCTAGACATCATTTTCTTCTCAAGTCCAGACTCGTGG